TCCAACATTACTGAGTGCAAATAAGAATTGGATATTGTTGGAACATATGTATACGGATCAAATGTCTACTTAATCCCGTTAGATGTGACTATCCTACAATTTTGTTGGAGAATGTGTGAAACTTCCTCAAATGGAAAACTGGAGGCCATACTGATGTTTGCCTTGTAGTGGCAACCAAACACAAATCTTATTTACTCAAATCTACTCAGAATCCGGATATGATTACATATTTGTATCTGTATCTGATACAATTTGTATTCTAATCCTTTTGATTTGGATGTGGATCTTGCTTGGCAGATCGTTTGTGCTTTTCCTGTTTACAAATACTGGATAATATTCCCTCCATCCGCAAACAAGTGTACATGTAGCTTTGTCTAAGTCAAAATTTTAAAACTTTGACGAACTTTATAGGGAAAAGTAGCAGCATTTGTGGCACTAAATTAGTATCACTAGATTCGTTTTGAAATGTACTTTCATAATACACCAATTTGATGTTATATATGCCAGTACTCTTTTGTATAAAGTTGGTCAAAATTTGAAAACTTCGACTTAAGACAAAAGGTAGAAGTACACTTATTCGCGGACAGAGGGAGTACATATTATCATTTACCAGTTTACACCCTTGTTAACTCGATAGTGTTTATCTATGCATAAATAGCATAACTTGGGTCATTCAGAGCCTTGACAGTACATCTTTATGCACCATGAGGTTGCGAATTTATCCTCAGCCTTTGTAAATTTCTAGGCATGTGCCAGGGCCTAGGGGCACACTTGCGTGCGCTGTGTGCACGTGTTGCAGTGTGCACGCTTGTGCGTCTACGTTGTGGTTTGAAGAGGGCATAACTTGATCACTTGTAGGATAAAATACTATTGACCACAAATTATAAAAATACATTGCTCATAAATATCTTTCATGTGATGCGTAGTGTCTTGCATTGTCTTTTCAGTGAAATCAGGGGGTCATTCCTTGCGATTTTCCAACTCAACACATGATTTTGTGCCGTTTGCAGGTAAATCTGGTTGACTGGTTAAAAATGATGGTTGCTAGCAGGCGTTCAGAGGAGGTGGTGGATCCCACCATAGAGACACGGCCTTCGACAAGGGTTCTGAAGCGTGCACTTCTAACAGCTTTGAGGTGCGTGGATCCGGATTCAGAAAAGAGACCGAAGATGGGTCAAGTTGTGCGGATGCTGGAGTCAGATGACCCAATTCCTCGTGTGGTACGTAATATTTTTTGAAAGATAAAAAAAGCAACTTCATCCTTGTTTATGTCATGCATGTATTCTTAGTTACTTTCAATTGTTTTTTTCGATACATTCCATGTGAATGTGTGGTGGGATGGAACCATTCATTCAATGAACTCACACTTGTTCTCATATATGTTGACCATTGGTTGATTATGATACTGAAAGCAGAAAAATGATGTGAGCAGGACAGAAGATCGAGGCATAACCGCGGGGGGAGCACCGAAATGGACTCCCAACGGGAGAACTCCGACACGGACAAGAGTGACAACCCAGATTCCAAACCAAGCAGGAGCAGAGCATCATCTTCCAAATGAGCACACAAGCATTCACATTTCTCCAACAAGCTAGTAACGATGGAAGCTTTGACTACAATGGCTGATGAAAAACGTGTATTTCGTGTTGTTTCTGGATGGCTGTAACATTTTTTATGTATGATTTATTTGTAGAGGCTATTGGTTTTCTAGTTTCTACTACCTAACAATTTATTTGTATCTACACCAGTTGTTGACGATGATGTGCTGCTGTAAGTTGTTAACAGTGCTGTGTACAGTTGTAGGCTCATGAGTACTGGCACAAGAGAGTATCCTGTGTGAATTTAATGGAAAGTTGTTGTCCGTCCACTTTTCAAATAGCCCTCCCAAATTGCTGGCATTTCATTTCATGAAAAGGCAAAGAGTGAGCAAGCAAGAAGCACATCGTCCATTGCTTTGCTCACTAGGAGAGGTCGAGAGGCCACCACACCTGCCTGCCTGCCCAACGCACAAAGAAAATGAGATCCCACCACACCGCACCAAACCTCACCTCGCCTCACCCCACAATGTACAACACCAACACCACCCCACAAAACCCAGGGCAAAACGCCCTAAGAGCATTACTAGTAGAGCTCTCAAACCTCTAAAAATAACTGCTTTTTTTACGGTTTTCGTCGAAAAAAGCTGTAGACTAGAACTCCTTAACCCTCAAACCCTCAAATTTTTTTAAAGGTCCAACCCTCAAACCCTCTCCCAACCTTCAAAAGTAAGGGCTGGGGAGCAAAACCTACCCCAACCCTCATTTGGCGGTTATCCTCGCGCGGGAGGGAAAAATCATCCCAACTCCCGCGCCCACGCCCGCGACCGCCGCTGCTAGTCGCCCCCGTCGCAGGCGGCCGCCCCGTCGACCTCCCGCGCGCCCGCGCCCGCCCCGCCCCTAGCCGCCGACCTCTCCTCCACCTCCT